CACAGCTCTGTGGTGGCTCCATGGCTTCACATCCTCATGGTGGCTCTGTGGCTTTGTGTCCCCTCTGTGTCCCCACAGCCCTGTGGTGGTTTCATGTCCCCGTGGTGGTTCTGTGGCTTTGTGTCCCCTCTGTGTCCCCACGGCCCTGTGGTGGCTCCATGGCTTCATGTTCTCATGGTGGCCCTGTGGCTTTGTGTCCCCATGGTGGCCCTGTGGGGTTGAGTCCTCACAGCTCTGTGGTGGCTCCATGGGTTTGTGTCACCTCCTTGTCCCCACAGCCCTGTGGCGGTTTCATGTCCCCATGGTGGCCCTGTGGGTTTGTGTCACCTCTGTGTCCCCACAGCTCTGTGGTGGCTCCATGGCTTCACATCCTCATGGTGGCTCCATGGGTTTGTGTCACTTCCTTGTCCCCACAGCTCTGTGGTGGCTCCATGGATTTGTGTCCCCATGGTGGCCCTGTGGGGTTGGGTCCTCACAGCCCTGTGGTGGCTCTATGGGTTTGTGTCACCTCCTTGTCCTCACAGCCCTGTGGTGGCTTTGTGTCCCCGTGGTGGCCCTGTGGCTTTGGGTCTCCTCTGTGTCCCTGTGTCTTCCATGTCCCCATGTCCCTGTCCCGTGTCCCCTCAGGACATCCTATGCCACCTGGAGCACACCATACCAAATGTCCCCGTGTCCCCATGTCCCTCTGTCCCCAGTGTCCCCTGACTGTCCTCATGTCCTCAATGTCCCCTGACTGTCCCCAATGTTCTCCATGTCCCCAATGTCCCTCTGTCCCCAGTGTCCCCAATGTCCCCTGACTGTCCCCAATGTCCCCAGGACATCCTGTGCTGCCTGGAGCACAGCACACCCAATGTCCCCATGTCCCTTGACTGTCCCAATGTCCCCATGTCCCCATGTCCCCAATGTCCCCTGACTGTCCCCGTGTCCCCAGGACATCCTGTGCCGCCTGGAGCACACCATACCCAATGTCCCCAATGTCCCCATGTCTCCTGATTGTCCCCAATGTCCCCATGTCCCCTGACTGTCCCTGTGTCCCCAGGACATCCTGTGCCGCCTGGAGCACACCACACCCAATGTCCCCATGTCTCCTGACTGTCCCCATGTCCCCAATGTCCCCAGGACATCCTGTGCCGCCTGGAGCACACCACGCTGCGCAAGGTGACGGCCAACACCGCCATCTACTACGACCCCAACCCGCAGAGCACGGTGGTGGCCGAGGACCAGGAGTGGGTCAACGTCTACTACGA